AGATAGCCCTCGTGTAGCTTTGCGCGAAATTCAAAACAAACAAACAAACTCGTGTTGTTAAAAACACTGACACACACATGTTATTCAAAACACTAGTTTCGTGTTGTAGAGATGGAAATATAAGAAATGTCAGTTTAAGTATGGTAGTAAAAGGATAGCAATAAAATGTCGTGATGTCGTTTTATTGACACAGAAATGAACAACCAGAATATTTAATACTCTATACCATGGATTCCCAACCTTTTCGTTCCTCTATACCCCTTGTGCATTCTCTCCCAAAGCACCAATGGAGGGAGGAGAGTTTGCCCAGTTGGCTGATCCCTAATTTATCAGCTGATTTGTAATGAGGGTTTTCTATATTGATTACATTCTACATTACTTATTGAAAACACGAGTTATAATGTAGCACAGCAATAACATCACAACGTTCACCATGATCACAACTTTTTGTCTAAAGAGCGTATATTTATGTGAGCCACTTTGCTCTCTTTGTCTGACTAGAATAAAACACCATGTAAAGTGTAAACCATGGTTATACTCTCAGACCCCTATGTACTCCCTGAGAAGCGCAGATGTACCCCTAGGGGTATATGTACCCCAGGTTGGGAATGTCTGCTCTATACTAACTGTTGGTGTGAAAGGTTAATGAAAGTATTATCCATTCATTATTGTTACGAACTCCTCGGTTCCAGAGGTTAATGAAAGTGTTGTTCTCTGATTATTGTTACGAACTCCTCAGTTCCAGAGGTTAATGAAAGTATTGTTCTCTAATTATTATTACGAACTCCTCGGTTCCAGAGGTTAATGAAAGTATTGTTCTCTAATTATTATTACGAACTCCTCGGTTCCAGAGGTTAATGAAAGCATTGTTCTCTAATTATTATTACGAACTCCTCGGTTACAGAGGTTAATGAAAGTATTGTTCTCTAATTATTGTTACTAACTCCTTGGTCCCAATGGTTAAGAAAATTATTGTTCTTAATTGCGATTAGTTTCAGAAGTTGAATTATAATTTTTTATTCGTAACTAGTTTCTTGCTGCGGATACTCACAGAATCACATACTTATTTTGCGGTTTAGTAACAGAATATAAACATCGTCATATTATATATAACGTAATTTGACTTCTTGTAACCGAAAACCACGCGTTTTAATGTTCTAGATGTCAGGTAGTTAAAATCCCAACTAATTCATTATTGAAATCGTTTTGTATAACTATGAAGTTTTGAGACAGCTATTTGTGGGATAGTAGATTTAATTATGTACTACAGTGAGACGTGATCCTGTACAATATATATATGATACAAGAACATTCACACTGCAAACACAGCCAATCAAATAAGTGAGTTTATGATACTAGCTCCGTCTGGTGTTAAATATAATTAACTTAATACACATATAGTGGTGCTCCTGATATTTTTTAGTGTTCGGTTTTTAATTCTTTCATTCTTAGTGCTTCCAATTTTTTTCTTTTGTTTGGATTTTTTTTCTGTATTCAATAATTTAGCAATACAAAATGTAGTTCTGATACATTCAGTTATCCCACGAATTTATATTGGTTGCGGTTGTCATGTGACTTGGATATTCAAAATTCGTTTAATATAACTTAGATGAAAACGAGATAATATGATTCCCTTTGATAAAATGGCTACCCCTGTATATCATTAGTTATGCCCCCCAGCGGCACAGTGGTATGTCGGCTGACTTAAAACGTTAGAATCCGTGTTTCGATACCCGTGGTGGGCAGAGCACAGATAGGCCTGGCATGGCCAGGTGGTTAGGGCGCTCGACTCGCAATCTGAATGTCGCAGGTTCGAATACCTGTTCCACCAAACATGCTCACACTTTCAGCCGTGGAGACGTTATAATGTTACAATCAATCCTACTATTCATTGGTAAAAGAGTAGCCCAAGAGTTGACGGTGGGTGGTGATGACTAGCTGCCTTCCCTCTAGTATTTTACTGCTAAATTAGGGACGGCTAGCGCAGATAGCCCTCGTGCAGCTTTGTGCGAAATTCAAACCAAACCAAACCATCACTTATGACTGCTCACATCCAGAGCCTCACCTGCAACAAACTGGCTGATGGGCGCGAATGTGAATGACTAAAGCGAAGCTCCATTTTTCAATTTTTGACAACTTTGATCCAAAGTAAGCACTTTCAGTTTCTTATGGTTATAATAAAGGAGATATTTCAGGGAATTTCATTTTGTTGATTTTAAATAATGAGAAATTGTAGACAGTCAAATATGTAGTAAACGAAACACAGTTCAAATTAACTGATTATTCATAACGTGTCATTGCTTTAAGATGAATGGATTATGGTAACCTCTCCCGCAAGGCCATCTTACTTCACACCATTGACTTATATTTCCGCTATGTTGTTGCCCTATTGGTCACGTTTTGTTTGTGCCATTGTCTTAGAAAATGCGCAATTTGTGCAAAGCGCACGGCCTTCAAGATCTTGCCAGGAACATGTGATTGATGATTCATATGAGTTAAATACAGTTACTGAATGCAACCTTTATTTTACATTGCAGTTGTTATGAGGTAGGGGGAAGCCATTTGGGGTCCGTTTTATCCAACATTATTCACGAGAAGTGAATGTTTTCAAAATATAAAAATGTCCAAACTTTCTTTTAAGTAGAGATGGTACTTATAATAAAACAGGTTTAATTTTTAAACCTTTTGATTTTTCTTGACAATCATTCTAGCTGGTGAAAACTGCATTCAAAGTTAAGGTGACCACCACACCGACCTTCCTCTCTAGATATATCATTTTGGATTTGACTTTTTCGATTCGAGCGGCACCTTATGTACACGAGGACTAAACAGACAAATCAGAGACTCCCAAGGTTCAGGAATTGTTCTTAATTTTAGACAGTTGACCAGGGAGAAGGCAATAGGCCATCAACATTCGCCGCCACAAGAAATTTGTCTGTTTTTCAATCGAATATTGGGAATGACTCTCACTTTTATAACGCACGCACAGCTAAAAGTAAGGAGTGTGTTCAGCGGCATCATGTCTCGAACTCTGAGCTTTACGGTACGCAGCCCGACACGCTACAACTAGGTGACGTCAGGCCCTTGACTTTTTATTTTACATTTTAATCATATTGATTAACCTCAATTCGAAAACGATTGATTAACGATACTATCACACATTTTATGATGTTTAAGTTTTATTGTAATTCAAAGACCTAGTTTCCTCTTTAACATATAATACAGGTATGCGCACACATATTTAACGTGTATGGCTTATACTGTATTTACTAATTTGTAGTTTTATATAGAACACATTAATATTCTTATTACGTCAGAAAGTAAATTACAAAGCTTGTCAAGAAAACTAGAATTTATGTAGCTGTTCTCTCGTCAGCATTTACATTTATTTACAGTTTAACGCAAAATAAGTTTTTTGTTTGTTTGTTTGAAGTTAAGCACAAAGCTACACAATGGGCTATCTTTGCTCTGCCCACCACGGGTTTCGAAACCCTGTTTCTAGCGATATAAGTCCGCAGACATACCGCTGTACCACTGGGGGGCACTAAATAAGTTAAAACAAAATAATTCAAACTACTAAGTACACATGAGCTGCTATTCTCCCTTCCTTCCCAATCGTAGCCGGATTCTGGAGGGGGGGGGGTCAAAAATGAAAATATTTATTTTATCTAAAGGGCTAAGATGGCTGTATTGGGCTTCCATCATGGGCTAACCTGTCCTGTGCTATGTTAACAAGACCTTCTCGTGGTTTAGCTTTTCTACTGATGTGAAAAATAATTCCACGTTCTACCACGTTTACAGAAAATTCACAGATGGCTATTTGGTTTGGTATATACCTAGCTTTTTCAGGCTGTTTTGGAAAAATATTTCACCGATTGTTCCTTGTACTGGTTCTTAATCGGGTCGTCGATAAAAGCCCCACTCTCTACCATTAGTCCTAGTCTTTACCCATGTTGACTCTAGTCCTGTACTCGATCAGGTCCTATCTTTGTTGGTCCTTGATAAAAGCCCCACTCACTACCATTAGTCCTAGTCTTCAACCCACGTCGATCCTAGTCCTGTACTCGATCAGGTCCTATCTTTGTTGGTCCTTGATAAAAGCCCCACTCTCTACCATTAGTCCTAGTCTTCAACCCACGTTGATCCTAGTCCTGTACTCGATCAGGTCCTATCTTTGTTGATCCTTGATAAAAGCCCCACTCTCTACCATTAGTCCTAGTCTTCAACCCACGTTGATCCTAGTCCTGTACTCGATCAGGTCCTATCTCTGTTGGTCCTTGATAAAAGTCACACTCTCTACCAATACGCCTAGTCTTCAACCCACGTTGATCCTAGTCCTATACTGAATCAGGCCATATTTCTGTTGGTCCTCGACCAAACCTTCAACCTCTATTGGTCTACGTCCTTGTCCCCAGCCAGGCCCTACCCACGTTGAGCTTAGGCCTGGTCCTCAACCACAACCTATTCCTGTCGGTACTCGACTAAAGCCCCAACCCACACAGGCCTTTGTCCTAGTCTTAACAATGTTAACTCTCATTCAAGTATTCAACCAAATTCTATCCTCATTGACCTTCGCCCTGCTACAGAAGCAGCTCTAAAACCTTGTAGACATTACGTTGGTACATATTCTCTGGTAAGTTCTTTCTTCTTAGTATTAAAACTTTAGTTTAGTGGTTCTTGTAGGTTTCCACTCTCCACTGATAAAAAAAACAATGCCATCTCCTACCTCTTGTATTTTCTACACCAGGTAACCCAATTAAGATATGTTGAAATTCGCTTGAAATATAACACTTTATTTTTCTATTTTACGAAAAAGATAAATAAACTCGACTGTAACTTTTTTTTTAGTGCATATTTAATTGTTGTCAGATATGTGACCCAAAACCCAAAAGTACAAGTTTCTTTTAGCAATCCATAAATATTCCTGATCATACAGCTCTCATTATTAACTAATATATTTCTCCATCATAAAGTTAGGTTTAATACAATAAAATTGCTTAAACAATAAAGGTTTCCTGGTTTAACTAATTTGAATGATTAATTAAACAAATGTGAAAAGCCATTCGTTCAAAAACAAGATATTATCTTACTAGTGGTAGTTCAAAGTTATGCCTTGAATTAACGTAAGAGAATGTTTAATAATAACTGTCTGTGACAAATATGCCTTATTTGAAAAGTGCAACAGTACTATTTACTTACTTTTTAATAAATCATCTTAAAAATTAATTTTGCGTGCAGATATGTTTCATTCATCCACATTAAAGATTTCTAATCCGTTGTCTTTCAACACTGTCCTTCTGGTAGATTCAAATAAATCAATGTTTAGGTCATTATCAGTGTTTTCATCTTCCAGCCAGTAAGTACGAATCTTTCCTTTCCCCTACCGGGCAAGAAAAATAAAACACACTATATAAGTAACGTATTGCTTTAAAACTTCTTACACAGAAAGTATCTGAAACAAGTGTTTCAATCAGTGACGTAGGAAGTGGGGGAGGTGGTCCCCACACTTTTCAATCTGACTCAATAATGATTTGGAAAATCACTCTCGGGGAAAGCAGGATAATACATAAAATATAATCCAGGACCCAAGGGCTTCCAGGGTCCTAGGGCAAGCCCTGGACCTTTGCAGTAATGGTCAAATAAACCTCGCTCCCCTCACTTTTAATTTGCCTCCTACACCTCTGATTTCGATGAAATGCAAATAATACATACTACCAAAAACAAACATCAAGAATAAATGTCTAAAAAACACTTTCAACTATGGTTATTATTTTAAAAATTGATGTTTAATGACATGGCTAAAAACAAAGTCAAATTTATTAGACACAGTATTTTTAAGAAAGTACGTATAACTTGTGAGCATGTGTTATGTTGTTATGCAAGGCTACATAATGGAATGTCTGCGCTAAGTCTTCCGCGGGAATTGTACTCGAATTTTAGAATTTCAGTAACAAAGTGTGTCAAATCGATTCCGGTTCTTCTCTTTCAAGGACAGAATTATTAACAAAAGTGGTTCGTCAGTAAGATTAAAGTAGTGAAAACAATGTGAGTATCGGTCAATTATTCACCTGGTGGTGTATTTTTGAAATAATTTAGATAAACAGATAGAAACCTTTTTAGAACCATACTGGAATACATATATCAACAGATAGAAACCTTTTTAGAACCGTACTGGAATACATATATCAATATAAAATAATTTAGAAGGTAATATATTAAATTACATCAAAAAGTAGACTACTAATTATTTCCTGCAAATATAGTAAGTTGAAAATCTCTGGTTATATTATAAAGTTTACATCATATCTTAAAGAAGTCAAGATTCGTATACTCCATTTTGTTATGCAATTAGAAAAGTAAGTTTGTGTTGTTGCAATTATAACTAGATGCAGATTCTAATTATAGCAGTGGAAGCATTTGATTTGGTATGCAGTTCAGATGATGCTTAGTGAAAACTAGCAATTAAAATTTAATTACTTTCCTTGACCATAAGATGATGAGAAATGGGACCAAATGAATAGTTGTACAACACAGGAAGTCAAAGTATGACATCATATTTGTGCATAGAATCATCGTGTTGTGGAAAACAATAATGTTTTAAAATCATTTCTTTTCACAACACAGTCTCAGTGTGTACACGATATTAAAGGTCTTATTGACCACAAAATTCAACTTTGGTTATTTCACACCACTCACCTTTAACTCCACTTCCCCCCTTACAGTCAGATGGAACGTTCCAAATGTTTCCAGGATATTCTTCGTTGTTGGACTGACGTGTATTTTCATGGCTATTAAACAATACCAATCTAATTACTGCTTTACCATAATCACAATCTTTAGTTTTCCAACAGTCAAAGCATATGATTGCATACTCAAGAATTTACTATAATTCATACCATTTTTAACTGCAATAACAATTGCTACAAAAATGTACACTTTGATTGTTAAATTAACATACGCTTTGATCATATAAAAATAAGCTAGTTGTGACTTTCAATAAGTTTGAAGTAATTAACAGACACTAAGTGTTTTCGGTAAGACTGATGATAGCGGTTCTTGTCAAAGTTAGTTACCTACAGAATCACCTAAGCCTAATGACTAATAACTCTTGCCACCAAATAGAGTCCTTATGATGATTCCTCTGATTACAGCAGCTGATTAACAACCGAAATATCGGATAAAACTAGTTGTTAATTAGTGTTTAATAACATTAGTAACAAAGCAGTTAAACTTAGGTGATCGTGTGAATTACCAACCAAGACAACAATAAATAGACATGACCAAAACAATTAATATTGATCTAGTGCTTATATATAAACATTATAATATACTAATTAGAGTTGAATTATTTCTAACCCCGAATGGGGTTATTGTTTTCAATAAACATTCTGAAGTACGAGTCTAGGAATTAATGATAACTGCTTAAGAACACTGTGAAATACATATAGCTATGTACTAATTGAAATAACCATGGAAACACAAAAGGCATTAGTGTTGTGCACGTGAACTGTTTTCATGCTGATTGTACAATATTGTTCCAGCATTACTCCCCACATTTCAGATTAATTGTTTAGTCGCCTTTTTACCTTCTTCTTTTTGTTCACACAGCCTCAAGAATGTTCATATAAGGACTTTGTGCAACATAAGCCATTGTTGTGAGTGTATCTTCACCGTCGAGATATCGTTTCCTCACATTTGCCGAATACTCGGGATAACTGTCTTGCTGGAAGAAGAATTATTCACTGATGTATCTTATTCCTAACTGTACTTATCAGTCATCAGGGTGCCATCAATTTGTGTGGATCACCAACATCGTTGGCTGAGATGTAACCTGAAACATATACAGATTCTCCACCAGGCTTCATTGTATATTTTATACATTGACCATGATACTGTTCTCATGTCCGTCGTCAAACGAACTATTGTTGTTGTTCTCGAACAATTAGAACTTGGATTCATTTGTAAGGAGCACGCGTCTCCTACTAAGCTCATTTAACATTTTGGTTTGGCTACCTCATCTCAGAAGAGTTTCTTGATCAACTACACATCCAGTACGACTACACCATCCTGTTATTGCAAGGTCGTTAACAACATCTGAACTCGACTATCTTCCTGAACACTGAGATAATTAACGTCACTGTTGGAAGGTTTCGTCGCCCCTTCTATTACTAGCAGTTTCACGTATCCTCTTCAGTCTTATATAGAGTTCCTACATGAAACGCATAGTCTCATCTAAAGCTTTTTTATGGCGTATCTGTGAACAGCCAAAACTCTCTGATTTCTGTATGATTGTCGTGTGGTGGTTCAGCTCTGGAAACAAGACTGGAATCATACTACTACTACTACTGGGCAGAGTATAATTATCTGTACATTCAAAGGCTTTATTCTGGTGTGTAACTTTGATTATGTAAACTATAAACTCTGGTGCAGTTCATTTTCACGCTATAAAGGGGTGGTATTCTTGTAGTTTTTTTATATTCTTTTCTTCTCTGTGTAAACATATATTTCAAATACTATATCTATATATGTAAATTATACCTTCTCCATTGCTTTCCATTCTGGAGGCTGTGTTTACGGTGTCTCCAAACAAACAATAACGAGGCATCTTTAGGCCTACCACGCCAGCAGCACATGGACCTAAACTCATAAGAAAAGCGTAGATGATTAGAGAAATTTCTTTTCTAAATTAATTTAATTAATGAAAATTCACACACAGTCTTTGAATAGAATAAGTTTTATTATGGGTAATTGTAGCTGTTTTCAATACCTGTCACGTCAAACTTTTAGCTAAATTAAACAACTGAAGCCATTAAGCAAGCCACCAAAGAAAGGTCTTATTCAAAAACGAAAACGACGCTACAGATCATGAAACTTCCACAAAATGTAAACGAAGATACTGATCATGAAACGTCCACAAGATGTAAACGACAATACAAATCATGAAACTTCCACAATATGTAAACAACAATACAGATCATGAAACATCCACAAGATGTAAACGACGATACAGATCATGAAACTTCCACAAGATGTAAACAACGATACAGATCATGAAACATCTACAGGATGTAAACGACGATACAGATCATGAAATATCCACAATATGTAAACAACGATACAGCTCATGAAACTTCCACAATATGAAAACAACGATACAGATCATGAAACATCTACAGGATGTAAACGACGATACAGATCATGAAATATCCACAATATGTAAACAACGATACAGCTCATGAAACATCCACAAGATGTAAACGACGATACAGATCGTGAAACTTCCACAAAATGTAAACGACGATACAGATCATGAAACTTCCACAATATGTAAACAACGATACAGATCATGAAACTTCCACAATATGTAAACAACGATACAGATCATGAAACATCTACAAGATGTAAACGACGATACAGATCGTGAAACTTCCACAAGATGTAAACGACGATACAGATCGTGAAACTTCCACAAAATGTAAACGGCGATACAGATCATGAAACGTTCACGTAATGTAAACGACGATACAGATCATGAAACTTCCACAAGATGTAAACGACGATACAGATCGTGAAACTTCCACAAAATGTAAACGACGATACAGATAATGAAACTTCCACAATATGTAAACAACGATACAGATCATGAAACTTTCACAATATGTAAACAACGATACAGCTCATGAAACTTCCACAGTATGTAAACAACGATACAGATCATGAAACTTCCACAAGATGTAAACAACGATACAGATCATGAAACTTCCACAAGATGTAAACGACGATACAGATAATGAAACTTCCACAAAATGTAAACAACGATACAGATCATGAAACTTCCACAAGATGTAAACAACGATACAGATAATGAAACTTCCACAAAACGTCAGCATATTATTTTCCTGGGCACGTATTTATAATGAGATGAAAATTACATAATTCAGGGGTCTTCAGAAATCATTTGATCTCTCTTCGCTCCGCTTGTCATTTTAAGATTTAGTATATTAACTCCATGATTGACAAAATAAAGTTGAAAAATTAGGTTTGTGATTTAGAACTCGCTCGAATATGTTTATTTCAAGTTAAGCTATCTGTACTTCCCCCATGGATATCGAAACCCTGTTTCTAGAGTTGTAAATCCACAGACATACCGCTGCGCCAATGGGAGGCCTATCGAATGTATATGTTGTGACATCTCATATCTGTAAATTGTTAGTTTTTACCGATCTTCACTCGTCGACAAATGTTCAGAATCTATTCAGTATAAAGTTTATCCAACTAATGAAACTATGATTTACTTTCGTGTATTTCTAGTTTTGTAATCGAACCATCTGTCTGAATCCCTTCAAAATATGTATTAACACAGGATCTCTTTCAATCTGGGGTCGCGGGGTCGAATCCCCCTTATTGAACATATTCGCTCTTTCAGCCGTGGAGGCGTTATAATGTTACGGTCAATCCCACTATTCGTTGACAAAAGAGTAGCCCAAGAATTGGTTGACTAGCTGCTTTCCCTCTACTCTATTAGCGATAAATTAGGAACGGCTAACGTAGATAGCCCTCTTATAGGTTTGCGCGAAATTCCAAACAAACCAGACCCTCAACAATGGGCAAGGGACAAGAAATTCCAGTAATTGATATTGGAGGTGTTTCATATATCATTAAAAATCCAGAACCTGCTGTATCCAAATATGGATTTCATATGATGGTAACGTATTTCAGTCGGGAGTTACACCACTTGACCAGCAATGGTTACACGTACAACAGCTGGTTATCTCTATTTTAAATTTCAAATCACATTATGCGACCTTTCTTCATTGTATATTTGAAGTTGGAGACCATGTTCTTGATTTACTAATCTGGCGGATTACTACTACTGTCCTTGTCAGCACCAAACGTATTTTTTAGTACCACCAAAGAGTCCATCGCGATCGCATCCACAGCGACAGGTTTTAATGATGACATGCCGACGAGTAGCAAAGTTCCTGTGACGGTCGACGAGACATAGAGCTATCTGGTGAAGAACTATTGGGTTCTGGTATGAAAAACAGATGTAACATCGGGCGAAGAAGAAGACCCGTCGGTTCCACAATAAGGAATACTGTTAGTAACTATGGGTTTTCTGATGCTGATACTGTGATCAAATCGGTCAGTCTTTGTCTGATTTGGAAACTGTAAATTGTAATCGTCAAATCTTTATAAGTTTCACCAAAATCGAATAACTCCCGGAATTTTTTTCTTCCAATCCCCGTCGCTTCCGGTTGACGGAGAGATCTTTAGTTAATAAATTTGGTTAGTTAAGCTTTCTATTTCTATTAAGTCCAGTAAACTGTATATTTTACCTGAGTGCATACCGATCCGTAATTTAACTTCGTGGTGCGGCCGATGACGGACTTTAAAGTTTCCTATCGCTTCCCGTAGGGCTAGTGACAAACAAGCAATCTCGCGGGCATGGTTGTTTCCGTTTCTCACCGGAAGTCCGGACACTACCATGTAAGCATCTCCGATTGTCTCAACCTACAAGTCAAGAGGTTTACATTTGTAACCATGCTCCAGGTTTTACAGAAGACACAAGCGTGTCAGAAAATACAATTTAACATAAGTAGAACTGCATTTGATTTGTACTTATAAAAAGACGAAATGACGTCACACAGCTTCTGTATGTAGGAGAAGTACTGGGGTTAATATTTTAAGGCATTTGTACGTCTTTGAAAGAAATGTAATCAAAAGTAAGTGATTATACATAAGAAAAACTATAAATAGGCGAATGGGTAACCAGGCAATATAGTAAGCTCAAGCCCCAACATACCTTGTAAACATCGTAATTTCCGATAATGTCATCAAAACAGGTGTAGAGATCATTCAAAAGGTCAACGACCTGGAAAAATAAATATAAGTTGTGAAAACGCACTAAAAACAAATGGCGGGCTGCACGTAGTATTCAGTAAGTATAAACTATAGACAGATCTTAAATGTAGTAAAGAAAAAATCCATGACGCCATTTTAAATGCACGCAACACTTTTAATATACCACGAAAGATCATTTCAAATAAGTAATCTATAATTGGATATTTTAATTGGCGAGAAACTATGCGTGGTGGCGATGGCCCCAAAGAAACAATTATTCAATATTTTTTAGGTCAAAGTGAATTATTTTATTATTTAAGTAGCATAATATTATATTCTATTCACTTAATACTAGCTCCTGCTTAACAAGAGTACCTATAAAGGTCTATAAGGTACATAAATCAACTTGTCAAACAACAACAACGATAAAAATATATTGTTGGGTTGAGTTCTGGATTTCGAAGATACTGACCGGGCTCGACTCCATGCTTGTTTGTTTGTTATGAATTTCGCGCAAAGCTACAGGAGGGCTATCTGCACTAGCCGTTCCTAGAGGGAAGGCAGCTAGTCATCACCACCCACCGTCAACTCTTGGGCTACTCTTTTACCAACGAATAGTGTGATTAACCGTCACATTATAAAGCCCGCACGGCTGAAAGGGGCGAGCATGTTTGGTGGGATGGGGATTCGAACCCACGACCTGCAGATTGCGAATCGAGCACCTTAACCACCTGGGCATGCCGGGCCTCTCATCTTGTCTTAGAAGGGACCTTAAGTTGTTGGTCAGGATTCAGAGGAAGGCTACTAAGGTGATACTTGGGATGGAAAGGTTTTCATATTTCAATACCTTTTAAATTGTTTTCGTTTGAAAATAAAGAGTTAGATGAGATCTGACTGAGGTGTTTAATTAAGATTGTAAAGGATGTTGGCAGTGTTGGTGCATCATCTTTTTTCGTGTGTAATGGAAAGAATAAGGGACACAAAGATAACTTTTGGTGGGGGAAGGAGTCATTTTAAGCAAAGACTTATTGTTCTAAAAGGGTGTTTGTTTGGTATTTTCATTGTAATATTTAAGGGCTCTCTGTTTGAGCTAGACGATAAACACACAGTTTGTACGGTTCTAGTCACCCCCCCCCCGATAAATCAGGTGTGCAGAATTACAATGCTGAAATTTGGGATCTGATTTCACGTGGTGGGCAGAGTGTAGATTGTGCAGCTTTGCACTAAGAAAACACTACAACAACAATGTACAGGCCAAACATTTTCATACCTGCATGGGAGTGCTGTCGGCAGAGAGCGCTGTGAACCCAACAATGTCGCTGAAATACACTGTTACGTTTTCATACGTTTCCGGTTTCACGTGACTTCCGGTTTTCAGTTGGTCAGCTATATACCTGAAATATTTTATACATGATATTCAACACTGCGGGAAATTCATCTCGTTTATTAAAAGTTAAATACCACAGATTGTGCAGCAGTTAGAAAATAAACTCTTTGAATGAAATTTGGAACAAAAATGTTTGTTATTACACATAAAGCTACCAGATGGGCTATCTGTGTTGTGCTCACCATGGGTATCAAAACCTGGTTTTTAGCTTTATAAGCCTCCAGACTTACCGCTGAGCCACAGAGGGGCGGGGAAAAAATTCCGAAAATCAATGAATCAGATTACAATAGCTTTTAGAAATGTTCACTAATTCCACTGCTCACATTAACAAGACAAAAAAACCAACATACTATTTAACAGTGAAAAATAAAGCTGAAACATTCAATAAAACTAATAGTTTCGGTTTAAATTTACTTACTGATTAAGTATTATTTTATTATAAGTCACAAGAAAACCTAATTTACTGTTATAACTTGTGTACTTGAGAATGATCGCACCAGTGATCGAAATG